ACCCCCCCCCCCCCCCTACTTCTAGCTGCACCCTTACTATAAATATGAAATTCTGCTGCAGATTGATATCACCAATGCTGTGATTGCACTTAAGGCGAGCTTTTAAAACGCGGGCGTTTTTATTGAGCCGTTTCTTCCGTTCGAGGAAACATCCTCGCCCTTGGTATGTGCTGGAAAGAATTTGAACTCAGACTAAACTCAACAATGACAAGGGCAAAAATGTGCATGCGACATTTAATTTTGCTCAATTTTCTCTTATTCCAATAATCTTGTGAGCATCACTCAATTAGTCCCACTTCCCTGACTTAAAAAATGTTTATAATACAAACTGAAGCACCGATGTAAAAACTGTCATGGCAAACCTAGAGAGAATATATATATTTTATCAAGGAAATAATTGCTTATGATATTGTCAAACGTGGAAACCTTGTTTTGTCATTACAGATATTCACATATTTGTCTGAACGCATTCCTTTTAAATTAAAATTTGCATTCGTTACGTTAAAATTTACTAAGTAAAATATGATGTGAAAAAGATATCATTATTATGTGTTAAATTAACTTTACAAGGTTTAAATAAAAATGACAAAAATTCTTCGTTAAGTAAAAATTTTCCAATAAAAATATGATGTTAAATACAAGTAAATATGTGTTAAATTAACTTTGCAAAGTTTAAATTAGAAAGACAAAAATTAGTAATTTGCGTTTGTGTTATCTCAAGATATACAAACTAAATAACGCTTAGCATTTATTTTCATTTGACCAGAAATGGCGATACAATTTGACTCCGACTTGCAACATATTTTTCAGAAATGTTTGATTTTATCAATAAAAAATACAGCTGTTGTTGCAACAACAAAGAATATATTTTTACGCTATCATACTCCTTTTACAAACTCACCGCAGTCCTCTTGGTTACGCTTTTTTCTTCGGTTTTCCGACAAATCTTTGGTCTGCAGCCGTGCACGTCTTACTTAATGTCCTGCCCCTGTTCTTCTCGCAATTTTTTCTTTTTATAGAACACGTTCTCACCATACGGAGCAAATGCCCACTTAAATGATCGTCTAGCCATTTCTTATTCAGTTTCTTGGCTTAGACTCTAAAATATGTTAAGCCCTTAACTTGATTACTAACGTGTGTGAAATCAGTATTTATATATATATATATAGTGATATATCACTGTTTAAAACGTGAGTACGTTACTGTTGCCCGGGTCTCTAGTGTTTGTCATTGAGGAAAAGATAGATGTTGTACCATAACGCGTGTATTGGTTGTCTGGTGACCGCGTCTCTGTCTGTCTTGTGCAGTGTTTTCTTTGAACTTCTATTCTTTACTAGTAGATGATTCTTAATTATCATAAGTAACTCCTAATTTTAGAATTTTAACAAGCTATCTGTATTTTTCAGATTAACTCTTAAATTGTCTTTTTAGCTCCTAGTATGTAATTTTCAAATCTAAATTGATTGTTAAACGGTTTGCGTCAGACCGTCAGAATGGAGCATATTTTTCAGAAAACATGCCCAATTAACGATATATTTATCAAAATACACAAATTGGAGACTCATTTTGTAAATTTTGATCCAATGATGTGACACCAGCGACACACGGCATACGGTTGTCAGGGCTTCTCCGTCACAACTGTCGCATCTTGGATTCTGCACTCCCAGGTTTTGAAACAAGACGAGGGTTTCAAATGCATCGCATTTCTGTCTTTTGATGTCGCACAACAATGTTTTAATTATTTAAAATTTACGATTATTTACAATTTAATTAATGTTATGTATCAAGTTTCAACATATTGTCTCAATCGGGAATTCGAGTTCTGATAAACCTCAACACTGACGTTTAATGCCATCAACAGACATAATACTCAAAGATCTAAAAAATAGCGTATTGACTCAAGTCAAAGGCAATAAATGCAAGTCACCGTCTTACAAATAATCATGTTACAGAAAGAGCATCTCTGCTTGACGGAGGAATTTCGAATGTCAGAAATTCCATGTTTACTTACATAGAGTCTAGTTCTCATAGGATAAAGGGAAAATTGTTTTCAAATAGTCCTCGCATTTGCACCCCCTCCCAAACAACTTCCGTCTCTCCGACAGCATCAAATACTCGAATTGACGTTCAGCACACAAATGGATCTCCATATCAACTTTTACCGCAAATAAATAAATAAAATAAGTATAAATAAAAAATAAAATAAAAAATTTAACTTTTCATACATCTCTTTTTCAGAAAACAAACGCAGAAAACCGTTCACCTTTACTTTCCATTTTTCAATCTACATATTCATTCCTCAACGAATTTGTGATGAGACTTTTGTTCTTCACAATACACCGTCTTTTAACTAGTAAATGAAAAACCAGACAGGTGAACTACCCTCTACCAGGGTTGCAGATTTTCTCCAACGCGAGAGAGCAGTAAAGTATCGTACTGTGAATCAGCCAGACACGTTTGTGAATATCTACTGAAAACTCCCATCTGTGACCCTGGTAGAGGGTACACACCTTTTTAAGGGTCATTCAAACAAAAAGTGAACCTTCGAGTCTTGTCAGTGACACAATGCTTAACATTACAGCATATTTATTCTCCAATATAAAAAAAATGCAACAGTAATTAAAACTTATTATAAAACAGCTTTGCAAATATTACACAAAATGTGTGTCATGGGCTCACATGTCCACTTTTTTGTTGAATAACCCAAATTGTAACTGTGATTTTTGACTCAACTCTAACATATTTCAAGAAAACAGTTATTTCACATAACCAATGCAGTAAAATCTAATTCAAATAGATTATTTGATGGAAGAAATGTAAACGTGACTTATTTTATGATCATTTATCCTTAAAAGCGTTTTTGAACGTCTTATATTTCACTGGACAAATTCAAATTGCTCACATATACCAAGTTCTAGCACTATACTTAATCAGCTTTTTCTCCACCAAAGCAGCTCAGAGGGCAAAAACAGCATGGAACAAGCAAAACATTCTAAGATCTGCAAGACAACATATTACTGTTGTTCATAGTCCATAATTTTGAATTCATGTCTCAGGTCAAAGGTCATATGAAATCACGTGACTTCTCTGGGGTCAAAGATCACATGGTAAACTGTGTGAAGAACAGCAGGGGCAGAGAAAGCAACATGTCTGTGTTTCCAGTGAAAAATTTAACTTCAGGTGATAAGATCCATGACAGTCAGCAAATCAGACTGCTTCACTGAGCTGGTCAGCGATCCGGCTTTGTACTGCTCTCCTCAGGGCATTGCTGAGGACATTGACCTTTGACTCCCCTCCCAGCTCTGTGTAAGGAATCTGGAATAGAGAAATGAGGTGTCGATCTGGTTAATTTCTTTTGATGTGTGTGTGTGTGCTCTTGTGCACGCATTCTAACCGAGGACACACACCCGCCCGAAACCCACTAACCGAGGACACACCTCCAACCGAGGACGTCCTCGGTTGACATAAGCAGTGGAATGCATAAAGGGGCCCATTTCAAGTTAGGTGGTGAAATTTGACGCTATTCTGAGCCAGTCCTCGGTTATGCTGTATAGCGCGGGCCAAATTCCCGCCACGAGTGTNAAAATTCATGATAATAAAAGAGTGCTAAATAGAAAATAAGCATTATGAAAATAAAATGTTTGAAAACGAATTTCTTTGGTCTTTTATTTTATTTCATCAGTATCCTTTCTTTTCCTAAATTAATTGATGTTTTATCTCATAATCTTCAATTCTAAAAAAGTGGCAAAGCCCAGCATTAAATATTGTATAACTGTTCATTTAATCATCACCTCTGGTGTTATTTTGGAATTTACCTTAAATATGAAAGAATTTCATAAAAATGTGAATTGCTGCAAAGTAACGCTATATAAAATTTGCTTTGCATTAAAAGTACAATCATTATTACATGTAGATGCATGCATGTCCTCGGTTGTAATGTGTAGTGTCTGTCCGTGTGTGTGTCCGTGTGTGTCCTCGGTTAGAATGTAAAATTCTTGTCAGCAAAAAATTAGTTTTTATAAAAAATTAATTTATAACATTCATACTCGAATAGATTTTACCCTAAATTGAATGTTTTTATTTTGATTTAACCAAGGAATAAGATGTCCTCGGTTGTATGGTGTTGTGCTGATGTCCTCGGTTGGTACACATAGACAAGTATGTGTGTGTGTGTGTGTGTGTGTATATAATTTTTATATAATTTTTTTTTTGAAGTCAAAGTTATACTGGTAAGTACATGTATGCCTTGTAAATGCATACTACTACACATCACAGATTTGCTCCAATTCTCTTATATACTTTCAGATGCACCGTTGCACAGTCATTAATCAACATATAGAGAAGCATGTGTGCGAATGCACAGACAAATACACACACACACACACACACACATATATATACTGAGAGAGAGAAAGAGAGAGAGAGAGATGAGCACACAGATACACAAACTTTCTTTTTCTTATAATATTCACCTCTACCACTAAGTACCCAAGTTTCTCCAAGTGCCTGATTGTTAGTGCAAATGCTCCCACAGGCTGCACGTCTCCCAGCGTCATGAAAGGGAAATCCATCACAATGACGGCCACTCTGAACACAGATCAAGTACAATGCATGTTAGGAAATATGAAGGACATATTTTCTGGCAAGTATGTTGCTAACTAGAGAGCAGACATTTTGAAATGAATGAAAATATACCCCACCCTCTGAAAAAATTAGTAAAATGAAATAATAACAATCAGAATAAAAATAATTACTGTAACGATGAAAATAACACTATTAAATACAGAAATAACTTGTTAAGACAAAGCAGCTCAGTTTTTATTATTATGCATTTAATAAATTATTATAATTTCAAATGCTCAATTGGCATTAGCAATTTGCTAATAAATTAACACCAAAATCTAAACCACTTTTGACCTATTTTGGAAATTAAATCAAAATCTATTTTTGCATTATGTTGCTCAAAGGCACATAGACTCAATCGACTGGTCACCACCAAAATTGAATAATTATTTTATACATTCTCTTTGAAATAGTTTCTAAAATGTAATCAAAATCCGTCCACAACCTTTTGCATAATATTACACACAGACAAACAAATAATTATCTAATTTACCACTTACTGTTTATTATAAACCGAAGAATTTATTACTTGGCCCCCTCCCAAAAAATTCTGAAAGTTTTTTTTCAAATTCCATTCACAACTTTTTGAATAACGTTGGTAACAGAAAAAAAAAACAACTCCTACCTGAATACATCATCTGAGTGCTCTTTATCAAGAGGTACATAAAAACCCTGCTGATTCAGAAGCAGCTCCACATCTGAAACACAAACAGGAAAATGATTTACAACTTAAAGGTAAAAAGTATGTGTCATGTAGATAAACTTGCAAAACTAAAAATCGATAATGGAAAAAATGCCAGAACTAGTCAAGCACAACATCCCAGAAATCTACTCACATATAATGTTTCCATGCACTTTTTCTCTGTTTCTATGAATACTTCATGTTGGAAAAAAAATTAAAATAAAATAAAATAAAAAATAAAAAAGCAGACTACTCACGGATCAAGTGGCCTGAGTCTAGGAACACATTCTCCTTGAAGCAGTCCTCACTGACAGCCTGGAGTTTTACCACCTTACTCAGTGCATGCACCAGGGAGACCTTGGGAATGGAGGGAGGCTAGAATAATAATAATAATAATAATAATAATAATAATAATTTTTTTATTTGTACAAATACATGTATAAAAAAAGCCATTTTACATTTTCCTCAACTTGAGTAATTATTAGAATAATTATCAGTTCAGCCTTTTCCTGAAGAGTTTTACACTTTATGGCAATTATAGACACCTGCCAAATTAAAAAGGGATGTAATTTGTTAGGTGGGGGGTGGGGGTGAAAATGGAGGATGTTGTGCAATTATCCCAGAAATAAAAAAAAACAAAAAAACAAAGTTAAAAAACAGAAAAATCACAACCTTGATTACAGCGCCATTGATCATATTACTATCAAAGATACTGTAGTACTGTAAGTAAGGGACATGATTATGCGGTTTATAATATTATCCAAAATAGGACTTAAAACAACTTATAATTTCTCTTTTTTAACTATAGGCATTTGTGCAAGATAGCTTTCATCCTGATATTTACGCCGTTAATTTGGGGGGAAGGGGGGGGGGGGGAGAGATATCTGAATAAAAAAATAAAAAAGTGTAACTTTTACCAAAAAACATTAGATCAAATTTTACCAAGAGCAGACCTTTTATTTTTATTTTTTGCCAAATCATTCATGATACCGCACCTTTTTAATTTTTTCAAAAATATGACAATATCTGGCTGGTATAAAAGGGCAGTTTTATGAAGACAAGACTGACAGTGACAAAGGGACACACCTTCACGTTATATCTGGTGATAAAATCCTCCGGCAGCAGCTCCCCTTCATACGTCCCCTCCATGTCCAAATTGGCGCTGGCATTTATCTGCAGTAACTTTCTGCAGGCCAAATTCTGCTGAACGCCAGCTGAAAAGAATCAGTCGCAGTGATGATGGCCCAGCCAGGCAGGGGGATGGTAATAAGAAACTATTATTTGTTAAATCAGTCAGAAAAAAAGGATTGTCAATAATTATGAGCTTTATTTTTTAAAAATGATAGTCAACAATATTATCTTCCGATTATTATTACAAATTTATCATAGGCCCCATTCAGAATAGGAAGCCAACTAGTCCAAGTGTCAAACATGGCCGACCCACTCAATTACTTCCCCATGGGATATCTATTCAGTGTCTATTAGCAGATTAGATGGCAAGCTTAGTAGTGGGTCACCATATTTGACCCATGGACTAGTTAGTCCCCTATTCTGAATGGCATTATATACTAAGAAACAAATACAGCATGGACCAGTGTGTACTATGAAAAATAGAGCCCAGTGAGAGGAAATAGGTCAAAGGGACCATTCAGAATGAGAAGAATGAGTGCTAACTGGTCCATGGCCTAAATATGGCGGACCTACATGAATGGAAGACCGCTTAATCCTGTAATGGACTCTCCACCTCTTACACGCCTCCCCACACATCCACCAGTCGAATAGACCCAAGTTTTAATTACTGTGCCCCTGCAGGGACGACGCCTGGGGAGGTGTGTCAGAGACGGGGAGTCCATTACAGGATTAAGCAGTCTTCCTTTCATCTTTGCCATATTTAGGCCATGGACCAGTTAGCAATCGGATCTTCTCACTCTGAATGGCCCCAAAGAAGTGAGTGAAAAAATCTAGCAATGTATTTTTGAAACCACAATTTAAAGATGATGCCATAGTTGAAATTCTCAACATGATTAGTTGGCTATACTCCACAGATAAAAGAGAGTGCATAATAATTGGTTTTCTAAAATACTTAAAGTTAAATACTGCTTATGAATTACAAATACCCACAATATAATAAAATATATATATGTACATATATGTATATATTTCCTTTCGAATAAATCCACCTCTAATTAATCAACAAAATAAATTCAAAAATATTTTATAATAATAGTAATAAAATAACTAATATTAAAAAAAATAAAAAAAAAAATAAAAAATAAAAAATAAAATCTTGATCAAAATCCCAATGTCCAACATGTTAAAGAATTTTCATACCATGACATGCATTAACACTTACCATCTTTCTCCTCAAATGTCTTCAATAATGGTTCATAAAAACTTGGTGACAAGACGCTCTGTATCTGATCTGGGAGAGCCTTGTTCAAGATGACCAGTGACCATATCATGTCCAGCCAGACATGTTTGTGTTGAACTGGGGTGGTCTACAATATAATGGAGTCAATATGGTCAATTTGGCCATAATCTAGTAATTTATATTGGGGTTTCCCATGGGCTATGCAGACATGCTGAAACTGTCGGTCCGATCGGTCATGACCGGGAAATTTTGTCTGGACCAGTAAAAAATTGGACATGGTCGGTCCAAAGGACCTATAAGAGTTTTAAGAGCAGCAATTTTGAATTTACAGTCATAATTCGACATACTTCACTTATAAAATTATATAAAACCCAAAGCGTTTTTTCCCTTCCATTTCAAGCCTATATCACATTCACTAACAAAGTAAGCTACCCTAATCGTACTGGTAGTATCAGTCTTAAACGAATAGGGATTTTCGGTCCGACAAAAATCCATTCGGTCCAGCAAATTTTTCATTACTGCTGGTCTACATGTCCGGTCATTCTGAAAAGTTTTCAGCATGTCTGGCTATGTATTGGGCAATCTCACTGGATGTGTATGGGACATCCCACTGGATTTGAATTGAGGCATCACAGGGAATGTGTATTAGGATACCCCATAGAATGTGTTTTGGGGTGTCCTATAGGATATGTATTGGGGTGTTCTAAAGGACGTGTATTAGAATACCCCACAGAATGTGTTTTGGGGTGTCCTATAGGATATGTATTGGAGTGTTCTAAAGGATGTGTATTAGGTTGCCCTACAGGGCCTGTATTGGGGTGTCCTATAGGATGTGTATTGGGGTGTTCTAAAGGATGTGTATTGGGGTGTCCTATAGGATGTGTATTGGGGTGTTCTAAAGGATGTGTATTGGGGTGTCCTATAGGATGTGTATTGGGGTGTTCTAAAGGATGTGTATTGGGGTGTCCTATAGGATGTGTATTGGGGTGTTCTAAAGGATGTGTATTGGGGTGTCCTATAGGATGTGTATTGGGGTGTTCTAAAGGATGTGTATTGGGGTGTCCTATAGGATGTGTATTGGGGTGTTCTAAAGGATGTGTATTGGGGTGTCCTATAGGATGTGTATTGGGGTGTTCTAAAGGATGTGTATTGGGGTGTCCTATAGGATGTGTATTGGGGTGTTCTAAAGGATGTGTATTGGGGTGTCCTATAGGATGTGTATTGGGGTGTTCTAAAGGATGTGTATTGGGGTGTCCTATAGGATGTGTATTGGGGTGTTCTAAAGGATGTGTATTGGGGTGTCCTATAGGATGTGTATTGGGGTGTTCTAAAGGATGTGTATTGGGGTGTCCTATAGGATGTGTATTGGGGTGTTCTAAAGGATGTGTATTGGGGTGTCCTATAGGATGTGTATTGGGGTGTTCTAAAGGATGTGTATTGGGGTGTCCTATAGGATGTGTATTGGGGTGTTCTAAAGGATGTGTATTGGGGTGTCCTATAGGATGTGTATTGGGGTGTTCTAAAGGATGTGTATTGGGGTGTCCTATAGGATGTGTATTGGGGTGTTCTAAAGGATGTGTATTGGGGTGTCCTATAGGATGTGTATTGGGGTGTTCTAAAGGATGTGTATTGGGGTGTCCTATAGGATGTGTATTGGGGTGTTCTAAAGGATGTGTATTGGGGTGTCCTATAGGATGTGTATTGGGGTGTTCTAAAGGATGTGTATTGGGGTGTCCTATGGGATGTGTATTGGGGTGTTCTAAAGGATGTGTATTGGGGCGTCCTACAGGATTTTGTATTGGGGTGCCCTATTGGATGTGTATTGTGGTATCCTTCTGGGCAAAAATAAGCTGTCCTTTATATATTGCCATATAGTAACACATTGTATCTACTCCATTACAACTTAAAAACTTTGTCCAAGAAGAGCAAACAATAAAATAACATACAACCTTCTGTTAGTTTAAGTGTCTATTTACATTTCTTGAATTGCTGTGCAAAGGACCCTTCCCCTGTCAGACTCTGAGAGAGGACACTTAGCCTTTAAAAGGGCAATGGATGAAAAAAAAAAGACAGCAGACAGTTTTGGTTGTTTTCAAAAGAGAAATGTTCATCTGTCATCATAACTTACTTCAAAGTAGCTCCAAAACATTGGTTCAGATATCCAACTATATTCAGGAACGTAATTCAAATTAGCAAATGACAGTAACACATCTGCAAGTTTCTTTGGAAATGCGCGGCCTAAAACCATGTGTTTCTGGTCAATTTCACTGTCAATGAAGGCTAGCAGCATTGGGTCCCTGAGGCGTAGGTGTGACAATGAAGACAACAGTTCTAACACCTGAGCTGCACTCATGAACCGCTTGTTCTGCACGAGTACCTGGGCCAGCTTTTCTAATAGGTCGCCATTGTAAATATGTAACCTTGCTAGTGATTCAACCAATGAAACCACTTGTGCCACAGGCTTCTTCCGTACCTCCAGCTCTTCAAACCTATCCGCTAGAGAGGAACATATCATGTTTATGATAACTTTGTTACGATCTTGAACTGATGCCATGGACTGCATCAGAAGTGAGAACTCCCTGAACTGCATCTTTCCCAAGTTGGCTTTAATGACGGGTAGAAACATTTCAATCAAGTCCGCATCACGGCTCCGCACCAGCAAGTGAAAAGTATCCTCTGGAGAACGAACTCCAGATCTTAGCCTCTCCAGGGTCTGGGTCAATATTGATGAGCGTTCTTCGGAGACTGGGGAGTTAATGTACATTTGATACAAGTCTGCCAGTACAGCCACACTTAGACCATCTAAATTTTCAACTAACCAGTCTTTAACCTTGACCACTGATGGTATTTCTGAGGACTGCTCCAATTTACGCATCACCTAAACAGAATATGGAGAAAAAAACACACATTAAGTCTCAAAGTCAAAAAAGTGAAAAAAAAAATAAACAATAGAAAAAAAAAAAAAAAAAAAGGCTTTTGCAGCATAACGAGACAAGGCTCAAGTAGTGCCATCAGGCTTTACTAGCAAATTAAGTGTGCACAAACTAAATCAGTCTTGACTGGTACTTTCAGCCTGAGCTTGAAAATCCAACCTCAACTAGCACAGTTACCCATACCCTATGGTCTAAACATTTCTGTTTGGTCATTAAAGGATAACAACTGTTCGTTGGAGATTCATATTTCACATTAAATACATAATAAACAACTTGCAAAAATAATTCCATTTTACCACGAAAACAGGGGTTATACCAATTATTCTTGAATCTGTGCTTACCATCAGGACATGTTGACATTTGTGAATGGCTGTGCCTCCTTAACTATCTCTTAATCTCTTAACAGATTATTCCAAATTTCATACTTAAAAAAAAAAATCAGGACCCCTTTGAATGTCAGTGGATGCACAAACCATTGGCAAGAATGGGAAAATCATCGTTCATCCCAGAAAAATCTGTTTTTGGTCAAGAGTTATAATCCCTTTAAGCTGATATTGAAAATAAATAGATGAAAACTTTCACAAACAGTGAAAAAATTGATAATTTATAAAACATCAGCCATCAGTTTAATTTTAAATGTATGATCCCAATCTAATTTTGATGATATTTTGTGCACAAAGCAAGCAAACTTAAGAATACCATAAAACATTCCACACACCTAAAAAAAAAAACATGGATCAAAAAAGTAAATATGAACTGGTTATCTGGGAAAATAAATTTCTCATTTGCCAAAAGCAGCCAATACCTTCAAAAACTCCATGGCTACTGTTGATCTTTCTTTCATTTCTATTTTCTTGTTCTCTTCAGTTAACCAAGAGAAAAGCTTATCACATTTCTCTTGGAGATCATTGATTTCTGCCTCAGTGTCAACCGAACCCTCTGCCTGGTAGAGAATAGTCTTCACTTTTGACCTAATTCCTTTCAACAGGGTTTCATGATTTTTTAATGTAGATTTTATGTTTGTGCCAGTGGCAGAGCTCTTTGGCACTCCAGATTTTTTGTTTGCTGCCCATTTTTTCTTCGTTGGTGACTTCACACCAGCAGTCTCATGGTTCGAGACCTCTACTTCAGAAGCAAGTAAAGCCTCTCCCATTCCATCTTCATTTTCTCCCACCATTACGGCTTGTTCCTGGATTGCATTATCAGGGCTGTAAAGAATAGATTTAAAAGTTGCAAATCAATCTACTTTTTTCTAGCTGTTAGTTATTCATCATTTTTCTCTCTAGGAGCTCAGGGTAAAACAAAACATATCCAATATTAACCCTTACATACTGTATCGCACCAACTAGACAATGACCAATACAAGGACTTTCTAGTACATAGATGGGAAGCTGGACTGCCTTCTAGGCAATGTGATTAAACAGCGTAAATATCATTAAATTTACACTTTGGCAAACAGTATCTCCTTCAAGACTTTCTCTAGAGAGCTGTCCAGCCATCATTTGGACAGCCACTGTCCTCAAAGGAGGACCTTAATTTTCAAAGATAGCTGGATGACTTATGAAATTTCTGAGGAATGACAGTGTATTGGTAGTTTGGACTCCCTGTACCCCAAATCCTAGGGAAACCCCTGATCTCCTTACTTAGCCACCACGATAACTGAATACAGGTTTATGGAAGAAGCATAAAATGCCTTTCTAAGAATACAACATGTTGTCTTGCCCAAAGACAATTAGAGAAATTTTTATGTCAATCAAATAAACAAACAAACAAAAAAAAAAAGCACTTCTCTTTTCACTGGTTTTGATGTGCAATGTTTCCAGAGGCCCCCTTGTTCAGAATGCTGTATAACATACTCTGATGGCATCTCTGGTGTATGGGAGAATCCAGCCTCTTCGGTGGAGGACGTAGCACCATCTGGCTCCCACTGTGCCTTAACGGTGTCTGCCTCCGTGGGTTGTTTTGAGGTGCAGTAGTGACTGACTGCCTGGCAAGACTGTAACATGCTCCATCTCTTCTGGTAGTTTCTTAATGGTCTACCTGTATAACACAGATTGACACATTTCATTCTTCGGTTCATTCTATGCTAAAATTCTGTTAAGATCCAGAATTAATGAACAAATCAATGCCAGATTTGTCTTTTAAAATAATCGTTTTACTAGTATAACATATTTATTTGCTAAGAATTTCCACCAAGCATTTAGCTAAAATATACCAATGCAGAGGGACCAGAGGAATACAGTAACAGCCTACATCACTTAACCATACATGGTCCAGTAAATGTTTCCTGCAATTGTTCAATATGTCTAATAATCATAATAATACGAAAGCAATGACAAAGTTTAACCTGAATTGATTTTGTAAAAATTGTTTTTTAAAAAAATCTCATTGTTATCCATTTTTTGTGAAATTAAAAAATATACTCTACAAATGAAAAAGACAAAAAGAGGAAAGAAAAAAGAGAACTTTTTGGAAAAGGTGGATATATATATATATATATATATATATATATATATATATATATATATATATATATATATATATATATATAAATGTTGGATTTAAACTACCTAGCAATGTCTCCTTACTTTTCTGCTGGCTGATGTGCTGTATATAACTCCTGACACTAGGTGGTTGTTGGACTCTTCTTGCACCTGCCAGAGATGCTGCACACAACCAGCTTCTGTAGCACTGCATCTTCATGGCATGGAATAGCATAGTAGCTGTCACCCTCCCTGAAGCAAAATAATACCTTTATATTATGCCCAGTGATTTATTTGTTACATTCTTTGACATGTAAATACCCTTCTTGTTCACACGGGCACCTCATTGTGTTACCAAGGCTCCATAGCTCGTAAGCATTGCTAATTGTGATAGCGATATCACCTTCCATTTCATGGCTATTATATGGGGGGAGTAAATGCTGAGTTATGGAATAGAGACGCTTGCGCACGAGCGTAATACGCCATGCTTTCGAGTTGACTGCTTACGGAGTCCAGGGTCCCGTAACTGGAAAGCATCGCGCATTGCGACCGAGCGCAAGCATCTCAATTCCATAACTTGCCCATAGTCGCCACACACAATACACTGTTGCCTCCATGTGATATCGCTATATTCACATATATATATGCACTGCTTCAGAGTTACGGGGCCCAGGTGCCTCTCTTTTCACAATTTCTTTCTTCATGTTCACAGTGCATTGGCTAAATATCGAAGTGAGAGATCAGCAGTATACACAAAGTCGCTGTGTCATTTCATCTCAAAGATTTGCAAACGTAATGACAGCAGATATCTCATTGGGTAGCAGTAGTCATGATTCTATATAAAACATAACAATTTTACCCTCTACCAGGGTGGAAGATATTATAGGCAAAATAAAAAAGGCAGAGAATCGAATGAGTGCCTAATTATCCAAAGACAAGTCTGTGAAAATCTTGTGAAAAATTAATCTGTCGCTCTGGTAGAGGACAAGTGCAGCCATTTGCCGCCGGTGAAATGCTACGGAATAGAGAGTCCGTTTGATGCAAGTGCATTCTCCTACTAAGACATTCACCATAACAGAATTGTGCACAAATTTTAAACCCACTATAAACAAATTATTACTATACACTTTAATGACACTAACATCTGTTTGCATTTACCTTATTTTAAACGATTTTAATGAACACAGCCAGAACAACGTGTGCTCTTGTGTGCAGTGACGTCATCACTTTATGCTGTCTAAATTTAGAATACTATAATCACATAGTAATGGGATTAATTAAGTAATCTAGTTTTTAATTGATTTCTTAATTGCACAATTGACTGCTTTCTAACGAAAATGTATTTTATGTGAAGACCATCTGTTCCATATCTTCGAAACTGTAGTCTAATAATCAAGCTAGCTTTGAGTCAGGGATCAACATGGCAGCTCTCGGGAAAGCTCGCTTCTTGCTTCAACACAAATGCAGTGTTTATAAACTAAGTGGATGTAGATGTTTTTCAGGTATGCTAAGAAAATGCCATTTTGAGTGTGTGCTTATAATTTAAGAGGATGCCTTTGTTTTTAGTGCAGTTGAAGGAAGGGAATGCTTGCCTGTGAATCGAAGCCCTTACGGCTTACGATGACGATTTGCCTCGGTTTTCGGCCTTACATGCTACATGCACCGGTAGGTGCCCATTAGGCGTGCAAGGACTAACCGTTCAAAATTTTAGTTGGATACGTAGCATGAAAAACTGAAAATTGAGGCTAAGCAGATGAGGCATCACGACAGAACAAGCGAAGGGAACTACATGTAGTACCATGTCCATAATCCAAAAACCGTGTGTTCTTTGTTGATATTTTGGCGGTTTATGTACTGTTGTGTTCGTGCATTTTCCNTGTTGTGTTCGTGCATTTTCCTACCTTCACCCGGTGTGCTCTCCCTGCGCGGAGAGCGCGCAATTACGGTAAGTACTGCGCACACCAGGTGGAGAGTCCAACTTCCCTGCCTGATCCCGGTGAGTACAACTCAACCACAGCTACCGTGCAGACGTGTACGGTACAGACGACAAAAAATAATCAGAATTGAGACACAATACACAGTGATCTACAATCTCACTCCGTAAGTAGAACCAGTGAATACTTTTGTACATTTAGCACGAAAGTCCATGCGTTAACACTCTTGTTGACGATTCTGATATGAACTGGCTGTGGTTAGCACCACCAGTTCATATAAGAATCATCAGTAAGACTGAGAGTGCTGGTTTTAAGCAAGTTCACTGTTCAGGTGTTTTTATTTAGAAAATGAAAGAACAAATATATCAGGCCTGTAGCCAATCACGGGTGGGGGTGGGGATATGAACCACTCTTTTTGCTGGGAAAAGGTCCAGTCTGGGTACAATTTGATCTGGGAAGGTTACTAGTGAAAGGTCCACTTTTTCAGAAGAAAGACCCCCCCCCCCCCCTCACCTTTGAAACTACTGGCTATAGTACTGTACAGGCCTGAAGCAATTCATTATGCTTTTATACAAAGATAAACTGAAATGTCAAATAAACTGAAGCCAGTCCCCTAAAAGTTTATTTCATCAGTTACAGACTATTGAGATTTTTTTCTACTCTCTGCCAGAAGATCTTTTAAGCCCAATAGAAAGGTGTATGGGTAAATAAGTTCTTGATCTGAACACATTACAGGCTGAATGTAACTTTCATCAAATCTGAAAGTTTCAGCTGACAAGCAATGCATGTAGATATTCGTGCATTTAATTTCGTAATTTTATAGTGACTTGTTAAAATTTACTTGCACTGAGTACTAAGCTGTCTATACATGTACATTTTTCTTCTATTTCAGTTCAGTCAGTGAGACATGTGAGTACCAAAAACTTTTTAGCTGCCACAGTTGAATGAGTTGCATGAAAAAAAAAAAAAAAAAAAAACGCTTAAAGAGTTATAAGTTTGAAATACTAATAACACTTTTAAAAGAATCACATCAGTACATTAAATTCTCCATGACTAGAGAAACTTTGTTTAAATGGGGGATGACTTTCATAACATCTTCTGTATATCTTCTGTGATTTTGGCTACATCTCATACAAGACTACAAAATAGCTGCTTTTGGTACTGATTACAATTAAGAGCAAAAGACTGATTTATGTCATTATCATTAATAAGTAATAAACTTTTCAAGTTTTTTTTACACATTGGACAGTACTTTTCTGTCAAAGGTGGACAAGTTTTGATTTCATATTTCCTCAGTCTGAGTCGAAGAGTCCAGTTGGTTTCATAGGTCTGGGCAATATGGGTGGTCCCATGGCAAAGAATCTCATCAAGAATGGCTACAATGTCACAGTGTTTGATGTCTCAGAGCAGTCCAAGGAAGACCTGAGGAAGGCAGGTGTGTAAGATTAAGTATTGGCATGTTAGGAGCTCGGTTTAACTAAATAATTTAAGAGACCAAAAGCCAGTCATAATTTTGTGACCAGTTTTTGGTGTACATTAATTCGGGATACGTTTGTACTTAGTCTTCTAAAATGAAGTGGCTATCATTCCAGAACATTTATCAGTTTTTATGTACAGACACTGAATCTCATTTAACTGGACTGCTTATACTAGTAATTTATTTGGAGGTCAGAGTAGGGTAAAATTTTGGTCTAAAAACCTTCATTCTATGAAACATACCCAATTGCTTTCAACTTTGTTTAATATCTTAAGTATCTGATAAGGAAAGGACTGCATGGAAAGCTCCCAATATAAGGGCAAAATAATTTTTTTCTTTTTGAAAGTTTTATGAAGAAGTGATAACTGGTGACAGGAGTCCATGTTTTCCATTGTAAAAGTCTGTATTCTTTATCATTTTGAACAGCAGTACTTAACTTTAGACAGGGATTTTACATGACCAGAATACCAGAATGATACACAGGGGATTGAAATGCCTGAGATGCATGGATAAATCTGAAGTTCATTATCATTTACTGTTTTCTTTTCTTTCTACCCAAGCACTTCCCAATGTAACAAACTTTTATCTGTATTCCCCCTGAAGGGGCCAGTGTGGTCAGTTCACCGGCAGCTGTGGCCAGTGAAGTGGACACCATAGTGACCATGCTGCCTTCCAATCCACATGTGATAGAGGTCTACACGGGGAAGTCGGGGATACTGAGGTCTCTTTCTCTCTCTCTCTCTCTCTCTCTCTCATCAAAATTTTTTATGGTTATGGTCATAAAATTAAAATTTACCAGTTAACAATGTTCTACAACATGCCAAATTTACTGACAGACCGTTAAAATCTGCATATTAAGCTTTTTGATAAATCACTGAACAGACTTTAACAGCTTTCAATGTGAGTAAATCATTAATGGTCAAAATGCAGATCTCTCCTTAATGATGGATGACTTGTAATAGTACCTCTGTCAAAATTTCTAACACTTCTGGAATACTTCGAATCCTTAATTGAAGTAGTTGATGCATGTTAATTTACATTCTTAGCCCAGCTTTGTGAGAGAATTAGTGTATACTTTTAAAGCTTTTGTTGTGCTGCATCACTTGCATATATTTTCTTAAATTATGCTCCTGGGTCACAGTAGGGGCCTGTGCAAGCCCCATACCAGGCCAGTAAGATTTTCAAAATTTCCCTATGCCGTGCCTGTAAAATTGCTAATCTTTAATAAAAAATCCACTTTATTTTTCAGTACCGTGAAGCCAGGTTCGTTACTAATAGACAGCAGTACCATCGATCCCATGGTGTCCATTGACATGGCTGAGCAGTGCAGTAAAAAAAATGCCACTTTCATGGATGCTCCTGTTTCAGGAGGTAGACTTGTGATTTTCCAAGTATATGTACCCCGTTCCCATACCTAAATCGATCTAGCAGGATCCACCCATCTCCAAGGGGTTTCTTGCTAAATTGCTTTCATCTTAAGTGGCTCTGGTGTCTGGCACATTTACTGAAGCTGTTTGGGGCTAATTAACTATTATTTAGCAGCTTTATAGTAGGTGTGCCAGACATCTAGGCGCTTACGCTGAAAGCAATTTAGCAAGAAACCCCTTGGAGATCCTTCTAGATCAATCTAGGTATGGGAATGGGATCTAAATTCATAATCGTTATGGCATATTAACCATTGGTCTTGGTTTAAAATAATGGAAATACAATTGTTTTCAGATAAGAAAACAATGTAACAAGTTAAATAAGGCAAAATCAAGAATTTTTTCATCTTTGTTAACTACATATAACAGAAAAATCTTTTCCTACTCTTTTATATTTTACGAGCTATGTTCTTCAAAAGTTTTCTCCTTTCACCCGAACCTTAAGCAAAACCCTAGAATGCCTATGCAACAACTTCTTCCATGGCAGTCAAAGCAGTTTATCCTCGTTTATTCTGACAGGTGTTCTGGCAGCCGCGTCTGGTGCCCTTACGTTCATGGTGGGAGGACCAGCTAGTGAATTCCCCGCCGCCAAGATAATACTGGAGAACATGGGGAAGAATGTGATTCACTGTGGGGGAGTGGGCACTGGAGAGGTAGGCAACACTAGAAACCTTATGTTTGAGCTCTCCATACATTAGACTTTTATATAGCCTCTGGGTTATGTGTTTGCCTAGCCATTCCTGTAGAGGAGTCATAATACCAATTGCTAAGGTATGTGCTGTTTTTTTTTTTTTTTAATTCTTTTAAAAGTATTGGAATGCAGAGCAGAAAAATTAGAATCAGGCCTGGGATTTGAGATTTGATTGAACTCCCTATGCCCTGGCCCAAGAAAAGGTCCTTGTTGAATCAAAATTTTATTTAGGTGTTATGAACACATGTAGGTTTCTTGGTAGAAATGTGGACTTTTTCTAGAAAAAGACAGTCCCTTTGAAATTGATGGCCACAGTGAACACAATTGATACAAGTGGTGTGTCATTTCTGACCAGAATTGTAAATATATTTTAGAGGTCTACTTTCAGGATTTCAGATTGTTTCTGAGATGTATTGAAAGATTTTGATGGAAGAAATAATAAAATTTGTTAATAGACCATTAGAATTGAAATCAGTTATAATTTTGTCGTTATTCTCACCTCTTAGTATATCGATTATAAAATATGGTCTTATTTTGACAGGCAGCCAAGGTGTGTAATAATATGATGCTGGCAATATCTATGATTGGGGCCTCAGAGACCATGAATATGGGGATCAAGTAAGTTGTGTATGCAAGAACACACACTCATGCACACACACACACACACACACACACACACACACACACACGCTTTTCTCAGTTTGGCTGACTCATAAGCCGTTTGGGTTGTTGATTTGTTTTCATGAATAATTTAGCAAATGGTATATGTACAGTGCATCTACAGAATACAGTCAAGAAAGTTAAAAAACTATATATACTTTGATATATGTGAGCTCTGCCCTTTGTTGGAACATAAACTAACCACCCAAGCTGTTCATTTAACAAGTAGCACTGATTGTATAATTTTACTCTGAAATTACCTCCAGGTTCTATCTTCCAGTCTGGTTGTAGAAACCAAAGTATTGAAATAAGTATTTTGCACCTCTGCTTACCACCTGTTCTCCACCTGACCAATGATACTAGAAATTTCAAATATGTGTATACTACAGTTTATGTATTATTTTCTCTTTCAGACTGGGTCTGGAGCCCAAGGTGTTAAAGGATGTACTGTGTACCAGTTCTGCCCGCTGCTGGTCCCTGGACACCTATAACCCCGTCCCCGGGGTGCTGGAGGGGGTCCCTTCCTCCAAGGACTATCAGGGAGGGTTTGCCACTGAACTCATGGTAAAGGTAGGTACACTACTGAACTCATGGTTAAGTAGTAGGTTCCTTTTTGAACTTGTGGTTTAGATAGTTTTGCGACTGAGCTCATGACTAAGGTAGTTACACAACAGGACTCATGATTAAGTTGGGTTTTCTTGTGCTTGTGCTTGAGGTAGATTCACTACCAAACTAGAGGTGATGGCATGGTCAAATGAACTTGTTTTCAAGTTAGGTTTTCTCCAGAGATTGCAGGCAATTAAATAATATATAATACACCACCTTACTAGGAAACATATTTACCTGTAAGTGGCTTGAATATCTTTACAGATGTGAAATGATCTGTTATAAATAACAAATGTTAAATTTTCAAACACTGAAAAAATAACCTGCTGTCACATACTTCCAGGACCTGGGTCTGGCCCAGAATGTGGCCACCACCCTGAAGAGCCCCACCCCCCTGGGGTCCCTGGCCCACCAGATCTACAGGGTGATGTGTAACAAGGGGTACGCCAGGAAAGATTTCTCCTCTGCATACATGTTCCTTCAGGATGAGAAAGAGAAGTAGACCAAGGGGGAAATGCACAAGTCTACGCTGAGTTTCTTGGAGGTGATGAAAAACATTGGTAGCCCTCTGTACAGTCCTTCTGATGTCACTTTCTGGCTGGTCAGCAGTGTCCATTGTAGTCCTTCTTGAGATGCTTACGTTGAAGTCAGTTGTTTCCTAGAAATGGTCAGTTAATGACTCTAATTTTCTAGAGGACATGGAAGAATTTGGTCAGGATGTTTTCCTTAATAAGCATACAATGCAGTTTAGACCTATATAATGTTATGAAAAAAATCTTTATCACTTAAACTGTGGAGAGAATTATGATCCAAATTTTGAGTTCTATCTCAAAAACTAGAGGATGTAATTTTAAAACGAGGATTTATGGATGGTAATTCTTCAGTTTAGGGTATTGTTCATGTATTTTTTTTTCTCTAATGCACATTGTATACCTTTCATATACTAGTATGTTTTCTCTGAGACTAACAAACTTGTTAAGATTTGAGATTATTGACTGCTGCAGCAGGTGACATCATGGTGACTGCTTTTCACGAAATTGGGTACCAGTGATTTTAGTGATAAAGGTTTATGCATGCTTGTTTTTCCTTGGAAATAAAGAAAAGAAGAGAAAAAGTCACAGAGCTTAGTCACGCATCTGCCATTTATGTATTTATACTTAGTATAATAATAGTATTATGGAAGGGAATTTGGTAACCTACCAGTTGTGGGAAACATAGTCATTAAAGGGTCTTTCACAATCGATCTCATTTACACCAGACCAAAAGAGACAATGGAGACCCTCGCTTTAAGTTGGAATTCTTCACCCCAAGCTTACTTTGCAAGCTTCCAGTTAATGTCAGTTGCATCACTTCAATTTACTTAGTATTATTATTATTGAACAATATTATTATTGCAGTTCTGTTTGACATAATTAAGCAGGCAATATAGTGGTATATAATATACCATATTTATGCAAGGCTTTGCCAGGCACATATATATCTATTATCAATATTTGGGCATTGGAATGGTTATGCCTGTAGTGAGTGGAGATGATAGTTTTAAATGTCAGCTTTGGTTGCAGAATGTTCAGTAAACTTTATGGTATATCTCTCAAGATGCTCACAGCTGCTTAAACTGAAGGATGATATGAGAATTGTGATCATGACACGAAATGTACAATTGTTACTTTGTCAGATAATACTAATACTAAATAGGAATCATGGAGTATGGCGATTTCTAAATTTGAGCATAATTATTCACATTTTTTATGTTGAAAAAAAGGTTACATGTGGAATACTAGGCTGAAGTGATACAAGAGAGCATATATTTTTGTGTTTATTGTTTTAATGATAAAATTTAAAGTTTGCAAGGTGTTTGAAAATTTTGAGTAATTACCATATTGATGTCCATGCAGCAGCACAGTGTGTCCCAAAAATGTTTCCACTCTTCGACTGCCCAATAATGTATATTTTGTATATTTTTTTTAGTACAAAGTTGTCTTTTATGCCATCATGATCATGACATTTTGTTATAATTATTGTTATAACTAGTATCTATGTTAGTAAACATTTAAAAATGTAATGGGCAGTGAAAGAGTGAATACACTTTTTGGATACAGTATTATATTAATTTTGTAATAACTACGAAAGTATTTACTTTCATGTAAGAACATAGATTTATATTTAGGTAAGCTGTACATGTGCTCAAGGGTA